AAAGCTTTTGATTCCGTCAACCCCCGGTTGCAGTTANAGTTAGCTGAACTCAAACATAAGGGGATAGGCGGGAAAATGCATAATTGGATAAGGATATTCCTGATCGGTCGCACGTCTTACGTGAGGATTGGAGACAAAGTGTCAACCGAAGCCATGCCCACTAGTGGAGTACCTCAGGGCTCAGTGCTTGGTCCCTTACTGCTCCTCATTTTTATAGACGACTTGGCTGTCATCCTACGTTCGCCATGCTTCATCTTTGCAGATGTTGTCAAGATAGTGGGATCAGCCAGTCGGCAGCAATTGCTGGATGACTTGCGTAGAGCAACGGGATGGGCAATAGTATGGGACCTCCCACTGAATGCAGAGAAAAGTAATTTACTTTCCCGTGCTGATGAACAATTGTCAATCCAACTAGGTTGAGGGGATTTCACCGCAGGGATTGTAAGAACCAGCAGAGACTTAGGAATATCGGTGGCGGCAGATTTCCGCTGTGAAAACCAGTGTGTACTAGCTGCGGCAAGGGCAAGGAGAGAGCCGTTCAGGCTCAAGTCAGTACTATCGTGTAGGAAACCCGACGTATTCCTCCCCTTGTACAAAGCCATAGTTAGGTAGCACTTGGAGTATTGCGTGCAAGCTTGGGCACTTTTTCAAAAAGGATGCAGCCTGTTTAGAGAAAGTGCAACGATTAGCCACCTGAATGATTGCAAGTCAAAAGGGTAAGTCCTACCAAGACAGGCTAAAAGACTTGGGACTCTTCTCGCTAGAAAGGAGAAGACTAAGGGGAGACTTACTGGAGACCTTTAAGATTGTGAAGGGGCTCTCGGGAGTTAGAAGAAAACATGTTCCAGGAACTAGAGGGAACGGGTACAAACTAAATAAACAGCGGTGCACCCTGGTTTTTCGATCCAGCTTCTTCAGTAACAAAGTAGTGAACAGTTGGAACAGGTTGCCAAAGGAATTAGTAGATTTAGTAAGCGTGACTGCATTTAAGCACGCTCTGGATGAGCGATGAATGGAGCTCTTTCCGGAATAGGGTTTTCAATACACTATGGAACGCCTTCATGACACATGCCCCTTGTTTGCCGAAGAGATGAAAAGAGATGAGCTTTTTCCCTTCTCAGCAAGGGCGCCGTACTGAAGGCAATTCGCAGTGGTGGGTGCACATTTTGTAAGCATACTGTCGGAAGAAATCTGGATGCTGGATTGGCCGTGGCCATTATCAGTCCTGTGCAACCTGACCTGACATGATGCTGCTTCAAGTTGCAGAGGACCCGAGATATTCGTACCTTTGTACAATACTGTCCCCATTTAGAATATTGGGTACAAGCGTAGGCGCCTTATTTTAAACAGGGTGAACGGTGCCTCGAGAAAATATACCGTTTAGCAATCATAACGGTAGCAGCCTAGAAGGGTAAGGGATAACACCCAACGACCGAGTGACCTAAAGATTGTATTCTCCCTGGCACAAATGAATGCGGGACGATCTATAGATACTTTTAAGATTATCATAGGGTCTTCTGGTTTAAAGTTTGAATATCTTTTCTCGTACCATCCATAGGAGCGGAAGGTATTGATATAAACAGATCGTGATATTGAAATAAACTTCCTGGGCACACCCTTCCGGGAGAGACTGCACCGAAGTATAGAGCAGTAGATCGAGTCGAAAGCCACTTTCAAATCGAGGAAGACAAATATGGTGAATTTACGAAAGAGTTCCAGTATTCCAAAATTTGGCGAAGGGTGAATATACGGTTTACACAGCGTCAACCAGGTCTAAAAACAGTTTGATTCTCACGCATGCACTGTTCACATGCGGCAGACAATGGACGGGGTATACATTAGCGAGAAGTTTGGAGACAATTTTCATGGAACTAATTCTGCTGTGATTCTCACGGGAGGATCCTTCGCTTCGGAGATTTGTAAGATGATTGATTGGAATGTTTTGCTTCTCAGTTGAATCGAGGAATGTTTTCTAGGACCACCGCTGACCCTCTATCCCTGAAAGTCGATGACTGTTGCCATTTGGCTCCCGAGGCCTTTTATCTTATGATATAACATATTTCCCGGGTAACCATTTCAGATGGAGAACTGAGATCAACTGGCCGTACTTGTCCAATTGAAGCATTCATTAATTTCCATTTCTAGTGTCGACGGAGTCCAGTTGAACAAACTCTAAAATGTTTTGCGTCATAGCTCAAGACACTTGCTGAATATGAAGCAGTGTGCTGTCATACCCATTGGTTGTCTTCTTTCCTTGTGCGCGTATTCCTAACTAGGCGATAAGATTGCGATTATTACTGATAATCGCAGCCCTCTCCAACTCTCTACACTTTCCTACGCATCTCTTCTCACAGTCATTTTTTAGGCTCTTGATGAGCTGGCATTTAAGCATTTTGCGCGCTGTCAAAGTATAAGTCAACTTCGGTCATAGAACACGAATGTTGATTATTTTTCTCCCCATTTTATCATTTCTCCCCCCTACAAAACATTTTATGATAAATTGTTGTATATTAGCGTGTAGATAAATCACCGCGAACGGGCTTGTTCGCTGCTATGTTTTTCTTAAGATGTGTAATGATGATGTATTCGAAGAGTCCATTATCATAGTAAAAAATGAAATTGTGTTGCTTTCCACCCTTTCATTTCGAAGCCCCGAAATGGGGGACGGAAGTTTGCGAAAACCTCCATCGTTTCGCGACATGACAAAAACAAGTTTGTAGTCAACGTGGTCGGTAATACGTTGAAATGATACAGCACTCAATACGTACTGTCACGATAGAATGTGGTAGTTTGAAGTTCTAACTGCATGAATTTGCTTCTGATAAATCTATGGAGTGTATATTACACTAATGAAGTTTATTATTAGATTTACCTACGTACTGAGAGATCCCGTATTTTTAATACGTTCCGATCTATTCTTGCTTCGGGGCACTTATTAAATGAAAACAAAGTATGGCAAATAACTACAATTGCAAGTCCAGTATGATAGATAGACTGTGTCGCTCGCATTGCAAACTCTGCAAAACGTAGTGATCAGCGGCATATTTTCAAATACCGTCTTTTCTTTGAGTTTTTTGTGATCCTTCAACGTACCTTT